TTTCTATGTGAAGTGGTCGTTGGTCGTTGCCAAGGATATAGCCATCGATACCATTAAATTTCCGCATTATTCCAGTCGTGGGCAAGAGCGCCCGGCCGTTACAACGGCGAGTACCTTCACAGCGCATTCCTATCTGCTTCCTGTGGCCCATTTGGTCATGTTCTCGATGATGATCATGTCGGTCGAACCTTTACTCGTAGACAGCCAACAGTTAGAGCGCCGGATAACGAGGGCGATGTGGTGTGGGATTCTGACGCTGATGCCTGGGCAACGAGACTCGTGGTATCCGGGTTATGCCAGGGTAAACGATGGCAGCTCGCTCTTCCCGTTCGAGGTCATAAATGTGCATTCTTGGTTATCGATTTCTCATTTTCGGCGTCGGAGGCTAGATGCCGATGGAATCTTCGTTGAACGTCTCGGACGACGAACTATAGATCGATTCTTCATTTTGTCGCGATCACCGTCAATACATGACTGTCTCGTCGTCAGGTAAGCACAGCAACCTCGAGAGAGCACCGAGTGATCACAGGCCAACAATCTAGTCGTCAAATGTACGCATAGCGGTATGGGTCTGGAACCGGGTGTTATCCCATCCCATTTTCCTCGACTTGGGTGCCTGGGTATATATACCTAGCCTGGCGAGCGCCGTGCGGTTTCAAACTGCCAAAGAAACTACTGTTGAAAGAAGCTAGACGGCGATTTCATTTGATCTCGATACCCTGCACAGATTCCTAGTCTCACAGTTAAGTCCCCAATGGCTCCATCAACCGTCCCCAGCGTCAGATCCACATGGGAGAATCGAGAATATTGGTTGGGCGTACGGCACTGAACATGAAGCGCTATTGAGGACCATGTGGGCCGAAGACAGGCGAACGGTTATCTAGTCCAAGGAAATGCTACGAGTCAGCGGTTTGGATCCACCCGAACTCCAGAAAACCGCGCACCGGGATGGCGAGGGCACACGGATTGGAATTTGCTGGTGCGTCTGAACGAATTCATGCACAACTTGTAACTTGACAGCTGTCAATTGCATCTTGTAACAGTTGTCACAGCGAGTGGGGAACATCAATTAGAACACACAATACAGGCCTCAAGACAAAAACGTCGAGACTGAAACGCCAATCCATGCCGCCGCCATTGCTTTTGTGCAAAACAAAGGAGAAGAAAAGGATGACTTCCAGAAAACGCGCGGATGTTTGGTATAATGTTTTACATGTTTTTTTTTTTTCGCGGCGGCCGAATGCTAAGACACCTCAGCGGTAGTGGATACTTGCCTTCCTTCATCTGCACACACATACCCGAAGGCTATGCAGTGAAGCTCCTCGTGTCGACGGTTTCATACCCCGTGCTATGTCCGTCCCAAAGAGTCTATAACCGTCTATTCTATGGTGGTCTTCCCATCGGACGCCTCGAGACGCGACATCATCTTTATGATACAGCGGGTCGATGTGTCGAATCGCTCCCCTCACGTGGCCCAGGAAACTCTGCGAAACCCGGCCTCCGCAAATGTGCACATTAAATTGTTTAGGTCTGAGTGAACCTTGTCAGCATTGTCTCTAGGAAAACAAATCTTCGGTGCGGGAATTACGTACGAACTTGGCCATGAGGGCAACCATGAGATCGAAAAGACCAATGGCTTCGACGAAGGCAAAACCCAAAATGGCGTAGGAGAAAAGCTGTCCACGGAGGGCAGGGTTGCGGGCAACACCGTTAAGAAGGGCAGCGAAGACGAGACCGATACCAATACCGGCACCAGTCAGACCGATGGCAGCGGAACCCATACCCAAGTTCTTGGAAACCTCAACCATGGCCTGGGCGATCTCCGAGGAGTAAGCGCGGCGCTGGAAAGCCTGGCGGGTGGTGGCGCTCAGGATGCTGGAGACCTGCTGGCGCTTGGCGGCCTGGAAGGGTGTGGCATTGCCTATGAAGAATCGTTGTGAGATGTTGATTTATTTCCATGCGAGTTGGGTCGTTCGTGTGATGAGAATAGCCGAGGCCAATTGAATTGTTTTTGCGGGATAAAAACTTACTGGTGATGGTACGCTTGGCAGCAGCGTTGGCGAAAGAAGCCCGGACGGCAGGGCGGGCGACCTTGGTGCCGACAGAGGCAAAGGCGCGAGAGGCAACAATGCGAGCGGAGGCCATTGTGATGTATGTGGATATGTGGTTGGGTTGGGAGGGGAGGGATCTCGAAGAGTGAAGAGATTGACGGGCGGACTGATGGGAGAAGGGGTAGGAGGAGCTTGGGGAAGAAGAGGAGCTTGTAGATGGTGCGGACGGGAAGAAAAGTCTAACGGAGCTCCAGGAAAACGACAGAATAATTGTTCCGGGCTGGGCATTGGCCACCATCTGGTCCTTGCACCGTGCCTGAGAGTTGGAATAGTACACTGTACACCATGGAATGGAGTTGAGGTAAGTACGCTATGAGGTACCTGGTGAGACGACTACCCCAGGCTACCCATGGGCACTTGATGGGCACTTGGTGGGCCTAACAACACTGCTAATGGTAACTGCCCAGCAGCCTACTCAGAGTACTCAGAGTCTCAGACTGCCCGTTGTTGCGTATCACGGAAGGAAATGGACAATGGGGGCTAGATACCCAAAAGAGACAAGGCTGGTAGTGTTTAGTTGTTGATTTACAGCAAAATCGGAATTTGTCGGGTGCAGCACTTGTACCCGACCTCGTCGTTCTCGGCCTGATGCTTGCAAGACCTAATATACATGGGCGCATCATTTACTACAGCATAGGATACCTACCTAGATATGCGCCTTTTTCTTTCATTCAACATCGAGAGCACCGACACCAGAAACAGAGACCTTTTCGCCTCAACTCTAAAGATTATTTGACTACTGGGAGAAAGCAACGGTCATGAATTCGTCGTCGCCGACATTGAAGAAAGCTGCACTAGAGATACCTGCCTATTCGTCGGGCTGGTATCGGAGGTATCGGCAGAGCCGGGCGCAAGATGAATACCTAGGTAGGCGTATTGGCACCACACCACGTACACTACGGACTGCAGCTCAACTACTTTTGGGTACCTACCAGTATGGCCTACCTAGATACTTGCCTACCTATCTAACACCAGCTAAGGACACTTTACACGTATCAAGCCTAAGCCTGCTGCTGGCAGATGTGTAGTGGGCTTACATTGTAGATGACCACATATGAGGTGGGGCCTCCCGGACGATACTGGAATTACCGTGATCCACGGGCATTCAAAGCGCAGTATAAAAGGAAGGGCATATCCTCACGACGAAGAGAAGAAAGTTGAAGGAGAGAGATGAACAGTCAAAAGCCATGGGTATTTTCTTTTCGACGCTCTCCTCATCCCAGTCAGCTGAGGCCTCTATGTACCGGTACATAGGGCCTGGCTGGTATAATCATCCAGCGGCGGGGGCATCTAGTTTTCCGACAACCACCAATGGAAATTCGGCTTCTCGAGTCTTTTGGCGGCGAACTGAGCTGCCTAGATGGCATACCTTCTCACTAGGTTAATAAGGTGTCTTCATACCTGCTTACTGCACTATGTACTCTGTACATGATGCACTCGGACAATTCTACAGGTATCCTTTGGATTTCTACTGACAATCTGCAAGCACAGCGACGACGAAGAATAACCAGGTTACGGGTCACGTTATCTGAGCTGGCCGAGACGCGGAATATACTAATTATTAGGCTGTTTCCGGGACCGGATCGGATCACGATTAATGGAGGCAAGTGCGAATTACCTACACTCTGGAGTCTGCCAACATATCTACATACCTACCTCTTCGCAGGTAAGTGAATGGGAACAGGGGAGCGGGTTCTCCCCATCATGTCGAAGGAACGTATTTGACCCAAAACCGACTAGCGTAGGTCGTTTTATCGTGCCCTTTTGGGTACCGATACCTATCTATCTGGCTACAGGGAAGTGTGTTTCCTACAGGTATCCCACTGCTCGCCGTCTGTTGTGTGTCGCTGTGCTATTATGGCCTGCGGAGGATCAGCCTCAATTACCTGCTGTAACACCGAAGAGACGGCGGCGAAGACATGCAACCCAGGAAGGTCATTAATGGCGAAGTATGATGTAGAAGGCAAGCAACCACCAATTGCATTTTACACGGGTAATTAAGATACGTCTCGTTGTTCGTAGGTTGCCACTGGATTCCCTAGGTGCCTACTTGCTGGGCAAGGTATGTTGGACATGTGGAGTAGCATGTCACAGTTCTGCTACTTTGTCCGCATCGAATTGTGTGAAATAAATCATTTTGGGTTGTGAGGTGAGTGATGTGTGAGTTGATGCGGTGAGACCTTTTGCTGAGTGTGTTTGCTGGGGAAGTAAGTGGGGTGTTTAATTACACTAGACTAACCTTACAAAACTTCAACTTCACAACTTGAAGGCTTGGATGTAGCCGGTGCCGGTGCCGGTGTCCGTACGGAATTGGTACCGGGTGAGTAGTAGTCTTAGTAGTCTTTTGTTGCCTTCCCGTCCTCATTAGAGGTCTGCTGGTTATTCAGGTAACTCTTCCTATCTGCATGTGTAGATTCACTAAGGCGGCTTTGAATGTAAACCGTGCAGTCGTCTCACGGGCACCTACCTGGACATGCTGATTGCTTGCCATTACAACAGAAGGGTTACCAGCGCGAGGTATATGTCCGTACTGAGCGATCATCTAAGGAATGTAGCGGTACCGTAACGTTGAAGAGGCCGAACCGCAGAAGCGAGAACTGGTATCGAGGCTTTTGGCAGTGATCCATACCTACCTACCTACCTACCTACTCTACTATCGTACCAACTCTTGTACCAATCTCGAATGTAGTAGCAGCAGAGATTGCAGTCCGGATCTTCCGGGCGCTCTAAAAAGATACTAACTGAACCAACAAAGAAGTAGGTATTCCGGAAATTCCGAGACGCAACAGACAAAAAAAGAGGACGGATGGATCCTTTAAAGGACAGATAAAATCTACAAAATACCTAGCGAATGATGAAAGTGAAAAAAAACAAATAAAAAAGGATAACCGACCAGCACGGGACTCGAACCCGCAATCTTTGCCAAATTCCATTGCAGTGCGAAACTACAACCGGAAAGCAACGCCTTACCATTAGGCCAACCAGCCTGGATGGGTATCTTCTAATTTGATGACTGTGCTTCTGCTCAATTGGGTTCATGAAGCGGGGGAGTCGGTGGGTGGATTTCAGTTCATCCCCACTAGACTAGGTTAGGTATCTAGATAGGGATCCAATTATGTTGGTGGGGGTCATCATCGGCTATACCAGGCGGGAGCAGTAACCACCATCACCGTCGATGCTTGGTTGACTCATGTACTTGTGGTTACGGGAACACTACCGGCGGTTTAATTACATTTTGTTGTCAATTTAGTGATTATCAGGACTGCTTTCAATCAGGGATAGTTATTCATTCCCACCGGAAACAATGTTGGATTCTCATGATGAGGAGATAAGCGGAGATAGGTAGCTTGTCGGTAACTTGGTGCCCGGAAAGAATATGTGTCACAGACAGTCCGATTGATATGCCAGTTTATCTAGTATAGTTCCCGGAAATCCAATCAAAAAGCACTTGGCAACCATTGATCAAGTGAGAGACAACCAGCCGTTTGAGAAACGTTGACACCTGGTTTCGGCATTTTGTGCCGAAAGAGGAGAAGAGGGAGGGACTAGGTAGATTATCCAGTCGTCAGAACGTGAGCCCCGCTCCCATGACCACATACCGAAACAGTCACTTAAGCATCCATTTATTCAACAGAGATCAGACAATTCACTCTCAAATGTACCTCCTTTAGTATTAGAGCCGACTTTGAGTTGGGTATTTCAGGCCGTGTGCGAAGTATCTACCAGATTACAGAGGATTTCCGTTCAGCTGTTCATCCGTCCGTCCATCCATCCATCCATCCATCCACCGAACGCCTCGCTTTCCCATCCTCACCCTTTATGCCCTAGAACCGGCAAGCAAATGAATTAACTAAGGTAGGTATCAAAGCTTTTCTCAAAAGCGGGGAAAAGAGCACATATTAGGGGTCATTCTCCTCCATGCCTGCATTATCTTCCCTGAGTAAGAATTAAGCGTAGGTTCAAACTCAACGCAAATTCTACAACTCTGTTTCCTCTCTATCTTCACCCTCGACTTGTCTGAGAGCATACCCCTCCACGAATCCGCCCGGATCACAAGCTTTGGTAAGGCCAATCTTATTCTCGCGCGCCCACGCGCGGACAGCCGCCTTGTCGATTCGGACTCTACGGACAGGTGGTACACGGCCCTCTTTTCCCGGCCTATTATTCCACTCCATGGCACCCTCTACTTCGATTCGTCGGGGCGGGCCGAGACCTGCCTCCTCGACGACGCCCATTTCTCGGAGCACGGCGAGGCAGTCCTCGGGGGCAATCCAGGTGTCGTGCGAGCACTGCTCCACATCGACAATAAGGTTCTCCTGTTCTCTGAACTTGTCTTTGACAACCTCCTTTTCTTTATCTGTTCCTTTCTTCACTATCTTGGGGCTGTGAGCAGACTCACGAAGCGAGACCGGTAGGTTCAACTCAAGGAGCCACCGAGCGACCTCACCAGCCCAGAATCGCTTGTATCCCTTACGTCCAAGCTCCGAGATGGGTTTCTCCGGTCCTCCAAGGATACCCTCGCGTCTCGAGATCTCATAAGAGACACCCATGAGCAGGGCGCCGAGTCCCTTTCGCTGCCAGGGCGGGAAGACCAAGATACACGCCAAATTGTTGTTATCCCAGGACATTTTCTCCTTCGAGAAGAAGCCGACGATCTGCGGTCGATTGTGTGGAAGTAACAGCGCAGGGGTGGAAGGATGGCGGGCCTGTGGATTCGGCGCGGATTTATTTCTGAGTGGCTCGGCGGAGCGGCTGGCTTGCGCATGAGGGTGGGGTTTGCAGGGCGCAGGCGTATAGACTAGGAGGAAGTAGTTAAACCCCGTGACGTCGAAGAATACCGATTTGTTATCTAGGAATAGCTTCGCGAACAGGGAGAGATTCTGACAGAACAGCTGCTTTTGAAGTTAGCTTTTAGGTGTCAATCAAAGTGTTCGCAGCGGATATAATGAATAATGAACAAAACATACACTCTCATTATCGCCGTCGACTTCCCAGACACTCCATTCTCCGCTTCTCAGTGGACTTTTATCAGCCCGTCGGCCGCTACTGACGCCTCTGGTAATCTCCAATCTTTGAGTCGACGCCACCAGAGCGGCTGACGACAAAGGGTTTGGCTGCGGTACGCTCACGGTTTTGGAGTGGCGAGGATGTGTGTAGACCTTGGTTCCAGGCACAAATCGCTTCCTCTCGCAGAGTTGTACGTGTTGGCGCCACGGCGCCATTTCCTTCGAGTATTTGAAACAACAGGGGCAGATGTACAATCGGTCCAGTATGGGCAGTCCACGCTTTCCAGCACCGATCCTGGCATTCGTTGCTCTCACATTGGTCGAGATATTGCCTAGAACTTCCTTCCCGTAGTATGACGGGTACCAGGCCTTGAAGCACATGTTTCCGAATACGACTTTATCTACATTGCGGTCGGCGCGAAGGCTACCCGGGTGGTTACCCGGGTGGTTACCCGAGGGTTTCGGAGTCTTGGGCTTCTTCGACAGTGTGCGCTTCGATGTGGAGGTTGTGGCAACCGGCGGTGTCGGACCTGAGGTAGTAACTGCCGGTAAACTTCGTGCTGTGCGCTGCGACGGCTTCTTCGTGGGTTCGCGCTTTTGAACAGGAGAGAACGACGGTGGCTTTGGCTGTATCGGGGACGGGGAGAGGGGGGAACGGAGGAGACGGTTCTGGGGCGGCTTGGATCGGGTTGCCCGTTTAACGGTGTTCATAGGAAACGATGGTCGTGCAGTTTTCGGTATTTCTGCTTCTTCTTCTTCTGCTTTCGCTGCTCCATCGTCTTTCGGCGGCTCAACTGCGATCCTTTGTCTCGTATTCTTAGTCTGTCTTGTGGCGGTGGGTGGAACCGGGTCGGGAACTGCAGCTCTCGACGCGTCGCTCTCCTTTCCTCGAGATGCCGGTCGCGTTAGTTTGGGCTCGGGGACGTCTTCGGCAATACTGGCGCGTACTCGCCCACTTCTCAATTCATGATCCGCCGATTGCGTTGTACCGGCGCCGGTGTCAGGGCGTCGACGGATTGACTGACGCGTAGGTATGTGGGGTTGGCGTACGGGAGGCGGCTCCAGATCACTATCGTGGGGGTGCTTGCGCTTCTGGGGGGCCATGTCGCGCAATAACACCTATGACGGTGAGGGATGCGTGTTGTACGAAGCTTTACAAGACCGCCCAAAGTCATTCAACCTTCTTTCATTTTTGGGTAGGTAATTGTCAAGTTTCTTTGCCTCGGGCGGCAACCCTTAGAACTCGTAATTATCGCTGCCACTGCCATCGGACTGCTTACGTAAGTGGGGCGGTCGGTCTTTTGTCTTTGTCTTTGCTCGGACCTTTTGCACGTGACATCATCCGATGTCTCAAATGCTGCAATTCGTTGTATAAGTGCTGTGAATAAGGGGGGAGATATCTTATGTAAGTACAAATGTGCGGATAGTAGCGTCTGTTGAGGTTGAGGAACGACGGGATCAACGCGTTTGGATTCCTTGTACTCATGACACTATCTAATAATAGCCAAAGTGGTATCCAGAGGTCCACAGATCCTCCAACTACATCATCTAGATACATCATGGGTACAGACTACCTCCAACCAACTCTCCCGCATTCGTAGAACCAACGCAATTTAACATTTACCAAAACAGCAAATACATATCAACAGACCCATGGACGTAATAGAACGCTGAACGTTGGCTACTGCAGAAAGCAATCCTCACTTTTTTAATCCCCCCATGCTGAGCAAGGGAGTAGTCTGCCGTACTAATACAAGGGATGGTGGCATTTGTGCTTGGCTGGCTGCACTACATAGATCCAGCCCATTCCTAACCCCTGATCACTTGTCAACTACTACAGTCTCTATCGCCGCTTTAAGCCTATGCCCTAATATCCCCCAGCAACATCGTCCTGGAGCAGACCATGAATAACGGCGCGTAAGGGAGCGCCACTAAGGACAAAGGTCTCAAAATGCATGGCCTCCATACTTATATACCCTCAAAATCGCCACCAAGATCGTCTTCATCCAAGTCACCCTCTTGTATTTCCTTGGCCATCTCTCTCTCTCGCTCACGAGCTTCCTGGGCATTCTTGAGCTCTAATCGATGCTGGTTCATTGGGAAACGCATTGCCTATTGAAAAAAAAACGTTATCAGCACAGAACTTGAAGGAATTGAAAGCGACTGTTGAGACATACCTTAACACTCTCATCGTGAAGACCGAGGCAGGCTCTGATACGATCGTGGAATGCCTCTCCAGGCTCCCGCGTCGCGTAGACATCACCAACCTCTTTGCTCTTCATGAAGCCGTGCTCCCGATCTAGCGTAGCCTCGATCACGCCATCACGAATTGCCTTGGCGACTATGTACTCGGCACTCTCTTCGCTGCCCAAGTGGAGTCGGATGCATATGTCACGTAGGGAGATTCGGCTGTAGCTTAGACTCATCATCCGAATACCGGTCTTGATGACGTTCTGGCGCAGACGGAGGATGAGAGAGTAGGTACCGTCAGAGCGGAAGGTGGTGGCATGATCGGCGATAGTCGACTCGAAAACTTCCAAATTGCCGACGCGTACAGCCTGCACAAGCAAGAAGTACGGGCGTAGCGCCTGCTCCATGTTGGTCGTCCGGAACGTGGCGCGCTCGGGGATGTCTCCCATAAGAAGCTCCACCACAAGCAGAAGCTTTGTTGCAGTTTGAGTAAAACCAAGCGCACAGCTGCTTGTCGGCGATTTACGACTGGCCGCGGTCAAATGCTCATGGGCTTCGGTATACCGTAACTGGATCGCTCGGATTCGACCAAGGTAGTATAGGAAACGTGCGACCTGCGTATTAGCGGCGTTCTCTGGAAATTGAGTATGGGTCACAAGGAGATCAGCTTGTGAGATGTGAGAAGTCAAAAGATAGTTTCGGAGCAGTAGAACGATAACTGAAGCCTGCGTATCGATATCCTTGCGCAGGACTGCAGTTCGGAGCGCTGATAGTAGGGTTGGCCGAATCGC